CTCGTGCGAGAAATTCGCGAATTTTCGCCACAGCATTTGATTTTGTTCATGTAACGTCAAGTACCAGAAAATTTGCATGATCGGGTTATTGAAACGTGCGACATTAGTCAATCCAGAATACGTTGCAAAGTGGTCGCCAGTAGTGGTCAAGAAGTGATCAGAAGTAGCTGGTTTTCAGTAGTGGTCAGTAGAAATCATGTGGTGGTTAAAAGGTGGTGAGTAGTTATCGGCAGTTGTCCATTAGTGGTCAGGAGTTGGTCAGTAAGCGCCAGGCAATAGCCACTGGTGTTCAAATAAAGGTCAGTAGTGATTAAGTGATGATCGGTATTGGCAAGAAGATGGTCAACATTGCAATGTGGTGATCAGTAGTAGTCAAGTAGTGGTAACAATCTGAATGTTGAATGTCGTATGTCGAGTTGATAAACATTCAATACATAAAAAATGCCAAATGTCCATGCCGAGCTGCTGCTCAACAATCAAAATCTGAATATCGAATGGACAATGACCACTGAATTATAGCCCTTTGTTGCTTTATTCTCCCATCCCTCACTCCCCTCTTTCTTCCCACAGCCTCTTATATACTGAATGAAAAAGCCGAGCGTCGTATGCTCCTAATCATTCAAAATATGAATGTCAAATGTCGTATGTTTAGCTGCTCAACATTCAAAATGTGAATGTCGAATATCGCATTTTTTTTCTCCATATTTGATCCGTGTGACCTTGAACGTAGGTAAAGGTCATTTATTTGAGGTCACTTTACAGCACTCTATCCCAGGTACGTATTTGGTCAATATCAGGATACCGGGTCTTTCAGAATTCAAGGGGCAGTTCTTAAAATAAAAAAAAACTTGACAGACGGACGACGAACAAGGCGTTATACCCTAAGTTCACTGTCAGAGGAGCTAAAGTTGCATACATTCATCATAACCTCAAATACATGTTATACTTACAAACATTACTCAGTAAAATGCATTTCATACTCACATATAGGACAAACTCAAATATATTACACTCACATACATTTTGCACTGTCACATGTATTAACTCCAATACATTTCAAACACACATTTAAAATATACGTACATTTATTAATGCTAAGATACATTATGTACTCAAATATTATATGCTCACACATTATATACCCATTTGTATTGTATAACTATTTATACATGTATGTATTACAATTTCATTAACATTATACACCTAAACTCTTATATATTATACAATCACATGCATTATTCAAATATTATACACTCTTATTCATCATTCAGATACACATAACACTGATATACATTACATACACACATGTATTACACAAACATACAGTATACACTCGTATACATTACATGCCCACATGTATTACACGAACATACATTATACACTCGTATACATTACATACACACATGTATTACCCAAACATACAGTATACACTCGTATACATTACATACACACATGTATTACCCAAACATACAGTATACACTCGTATACATTGCATACACACATGTATTACACAAACATACAGTATACACTCGTATACATTACATGCCCACATGTATTACACAAACTTACATTATACACTCGTATACATTACATGCCCACATGTATTACACAAAAACATACATTATACACTCGTATACATTACATACCCACATTATTACGCAAACATACATTATACACTCGTATACATTACATGCACACATGTATTACACAAACATACATTATACACACACATACATTACACACATTATTACGCAAACATACATTATACACTCGTAAACATTACATACACACATGTATTACCCAATCATACATTATACACTCGTATACGTTACATACCCACATTATTACGCAAACATACATTATACACTTGTATACATTGTATGCCCACATGTATCACACAAACATACATTATATCCTCGTATACATTACATACCCCCATGTATTACACAGACAATACATTACACACTCACATACTAACATACCCACATGTATTAATACATTATACACTCGTATACGTTACATACCCACATTATTACGCAAAAATAAATTATACACTCGTATACATTACATACCCCCATGTATTACACAAAAATACATTATACACTCACATACGTGACATACCCACATGTATTACACAAACAAACATTACACACTCACATACATAACATTCCCACATGTATTACACAATCATGCATTATACACTCGTATACATTATATACCCACATGTCTTACACATTGCATACATTATACACTCTTATAGATGACATACTCACAAGTATTACGCAATCATACATTATACACTCGTATACGTTACATACCCACATTATTACGCAAAAATAAATTATACACTCGTATACATTATATACCCACATGTATTACATATTGCATACATTATACACTCGTATACATTGCATACCCACATGTATTACACCATCATACAGAGTAGGCGCTTAAACGCCGACACAGAGGATAGTGAAAATTGTATCCAAATACCCACATGTATTACACAAACATTCATTATACACTCGTATACATTATATACCCACATGTGTTACACATTGCATACATTATACACTCGTATACGTTACATACCCACATTATTACGCAAAAATAAATTATACACTCGTATACATTATATACCCACATGTCTTACACATTGCATACATTATACACTCTTATACATTACATCCCCACATGTATTAAGCAAACATACATTATAAACTCGTATACATTACACACTCGCATACATTATACTCTCGTATACATTACATGCCCACATGTATTGCACAAACATACATTATACACTTGTATACATTGTATGCCCACATGTATCACACAAACATACATTATATCCTCGTATACATTACATACCCCCATTATTACGCAAACATACATTATACACTTGTATACATTACATACCTACATGTATTACACAATCATACAGAGTAGTACACAAACATACATTATACACTCGTACACATTACATTCCCACATGTATTACACAAACAAACATTACACACTCACATACATGACATACCCACATGTATTACACATTACATTCCCACATGTATTACACAAACAAACATTACACACTCACATACATGACATACCCACATGCATTACACACTCATACATTTAACACTCACCTACATTATATAAACACATGTATTACATAAACATACATTATACACTCACATTCATTACACACTCACATACATAGCATACCCACATGTATTACACAAACACATACATTATACACTCGTATTCATTACATGCCCACATGTATTGCACAAACATACATTATACACTCTCGTATACATTACATGCCCACATGTATTCCACAAACATACATTATACACTTGTATACATTGTATGCCCACATGTATTACACACACACATACATTACACACATTATTACGCAAACATACATTATACACTCGTAAACATTACATACACACATGTATTACCCAATCATACATTATACACTCGTATACGTTACATACCCACATTATTACGCAAACGTACATTATACACTCGTATACATAACATACCCACATTATTACGCAAACGTACATTATACACTCGTATACATAACATACCCACATTATTACGCAAACATACATTATACCCTCGTATTCATTACATGCCCACATGTATTCCACAAACATACATTATACACTCTCGTATACATTACATGCCCACATGTATTGCACAAACATACATTATACACTCGTAAACATTACATACACACATGTATTACACAATCATACGGAGTAGGCGCTTAAACGCCGACATAGAGGATAGTGAAAATTGTATCCAAATACCCACATGTATTACACAATCACACATTATACACTCGTATACATAACATACCCACATTATTACGCAAACGTACATTATACACTCGTATACATAACATACCCACATTATTACGCAAACATACATTATACCCTCGTATTCATTACATGCCCACATGTATTCCACAAACATACATTATACACTCACATTCATTACACACTCACATACATTGTACTCTCGTATACATTACATGCCCACATGTATACACAAACATACATTATACACTTGTATACATTGTATGCCCACATGTATCACACAAACATACATTATATACTCGTATACATTACATACCCCCATTATTACGCAAACATACATTATACACTCGTACACATTACATTCCCACATGTATTACACACTCATACATTTAACACTCACATACATTATATACCCACATGTATTACACATTGCATACATTATACACTCGTATACATTACATACCCACATGTATTACACATTGCATACCCACATGTATTACACAATCATACAGAGTAGGCGCTTAAACGCCGACACAGAGGATAGTGAAAATTGTATCCAAAATTTTAGGCCGTTAGAACTAAGGTCTCTTTATTAAGACATTTAGATGGACTTCCTAATTTTATACACAAGCCAAATTCATAGAATAGGCAGGGGCTGGTGTGGCTGGACCTCACTTCCGGTCCTGACTTGGTGATGGTGTACGATGAGTGTTAGGTTAAGGCATTATTAGGCATTGGAGCCGTCTTACGAAAACTAGACCTATACAGTTAATATATGTAGGATAGACGGCCACTTCTCCAACTTCTCCAACACATGTATTACACAGACATACATTTAACACTCACATACTAACATACCCACATGTATTACACAGACATACATTTAACACTCACATACGTTACATAAACACATGTATTACACAAACATACATTATACACTCACATACGTTACATATTGTTGTACTCTCACGATGAAATGGGTCCTCTTTTGACCATTTTGAATTGACTTGATCTTTGATTAATCATGTCTTTTGTCTTTTGCAATTCTGCAACATGCTTTTACTGTACTTTAGAAGTAACTGTTTGATATGCCATTTTATCTAGGTACAGTTTCTTTTTTCCGCTAGCATATATAGACACGCATAAATACACACATTACACACTTACATATAACGTCCACTGTGGTCGTGTCTGCCTGGGGTGGTGTCTCACTGAAGTAGTTATTTACCCCTTCGCACGTCCATCTGTCCCCGTGACTGTAGCTGTTGGCGGGAATCTGTATCCCCAGTGTCCTCGTGTCTCTGTTACAGGTAAGTGTGTAGGGTGACACTGATGGACATGTTGTCCCTAAGTATATCAACACATTGCCTATTCTACCGTCACCATCATTTAGTCTGTAGTTAACAGCAGCATTTTGTCCTGTGTAGTCAGCTGACCACTGACAAGTGATACTGAGTGTCTGACCGGACACGACATCGGCTGTAGGAGAGGGACTGACCACCACGGATAATCCAGTCACACCTGTACGGATGAGAAAAGCGTTGATAAAAGTATGGTCTATTTTTACTATGTTCAGTGTATATATTTAGGCACGGGTGAAGGGTTAAGAGTCAGATTGATCCACGTGTATATTGAGTATATAAGTATTTAGCCATTGTCGACATTAATCGAGATAACAGTAGTTGTAAGTTTGTTTTACAGAGATTCATTGCATTTACTCTCGACTTTTACTGCAAAAAATATCTTGGTTTACGACTTTTTGAAGGCTATATGCCACTCCCTGATTGTAATATAGTCAATATAGTTACATTATAAAACACTCACTGCAATATATATATGTAATACCCGTATACGTAGATGGTAACAACATCGTTTTGAACAGTTAGCCAATATTGCCTTACTCTATTTATAAGGGATTATCATATGATTACGGCATGTTATTTAAATTGAACGGTATTCTGTTGTCGCAATTTACAGTCCGTGACATCTATTACTATTGATGTGAATAAAACCATAACACGAGTTTCTATGTATAGAACGAAAAATCAGGTACGTATGACAAAGACGGTAACATGTACGAGAACAAAATAAGTATAGGATCATAGCATTGAGGCACATAGAATATCATTATTAAAGGTGTGTATATATATATGTATGTTGTTCAATACACGTTCACTGTAGGTATTTTATTTTATCATAGAAGCATACCATTGACGGTATATGTATGTTATTTACTAGTTGTTACTGTCGTTAATGCACCAGCTACAAGGAAGTAGGGTATGTATAATTATAGCCCGTTGTTATATATTTTCTCTCCCTTCACCTTATATAAGTAATCTTACCTTGTAGTGTGGTGATGTACAGCCATAACAAACACTGTACTCGTCTGTCCAGTGTCATACTGACCAGGTCGAGGATCACACAACTGGTGTACAATTTGTTAACGGTTACCCGAATACTTCCTGGTCTATTTTGAGAATCCCTATAGCAGTTATGTCCCTTACTCCACCATTATCTCTAACATTAGGGCTGAAAGGCATTGAACTCGATATACCAATGTTACTTGTTACGCGCCACCGCTATTCGTGTGTAAACAAGACAAATACATAGGGTAAACATATATACTTGTACATAAGGTGATCACAGCAATACTGGTGCATAGTGTGACAACAGAAATAGAATCACAAAGGGTGGCAACAGTTATACCAGTACATTGGTTACAACAGTAATGCTGGTACAAAGGTTACAACAGTAATAATAGTTTTGGACAAAACAGTGATATTGGTACGTAGGATGAAAACAGTTATATCAGTTCATAGGGTACATGGCATGCCACTGATCTGAATCGGACTTTAGAGTTTAACCTCACTGAAACCCCGTGCTGAAGGCATCTAGCACAGTATTTCAAACCGTCACATTATATTGACAATGGTTGTAATTCCCTCTTGTGTTATATACTGTAGACATTATTATCTTACTGTAAACCACTGTCGATACGAAGAACAGACGTCTTCTTAATACACTAATATTGTAGTGGGCATTAATTCACAGTTACATAACAAGGTAGACAACTCTTATTCAAGAAAACTTGCCTCAGCCCCGCGCTATTTTACATCTCAAAAGAATCAATGTTACTACCAGGACGTCAGCACGCTTTACCAATAATTATAATTAGCCGGACTACGCGGGGAAACCTGCTCGTGATCAAATACCTACCCTATCGTTTGGACAGGGGTCTACAGTACAGTGTGCCGCAGGATGCTCCGTACATGAATATAGAGCATTTTACTCAAAAAATAGTATAACATGCCCACATTTCGTGGAGGTTCTTGACGCTATGCGTTCCTTACAGTTCACAAACCTTTAAAAGTAAAATTGTTTAAATACCCCGTTGAAATAGTACTTACCGATATATTTGTTATTTGCCATTAAGCATAAAAGAAAGCTTACCTGTATCCCAGCGGACCGGTCTCGGCATAAATGTTAAGATAAATATCTGCAGAAATCACAGAGGCAATACGAACCCCAAAAGCGGAATATATAACATGTCCCAACCCTACAATTCTAACAGTCAGACCAAAAGTCGGAGGACCAAAGGCACCAACACAAAGGATTAGTAACTTGGACTTTATCTTAAAACAGCTATGCAAAGATGTAAAAAGTTTCGTGCTAGAAAACGTTGTAGTAAATTAATTTATAACATTGTGAAATAACGGATTCTATCAACTTGATAAACCTGATGACATTGTGACAAATATCAAAATTCTGAAAATATCACTTTTTGGTATTGACCAATCATAACGTATCATCTATTCTCTGCATTCAAAGGCAACGCTTTTTTTCCAGATGCAAATGAAGGGACGGTAGAATAAGTGGTTGTTATGGTAAATGTTTATTACACACATTTAAGTATTAACATACAAATACAATTAATAACATTTGTATAAGCAGTCATACCAGAAAATAGCAGAAAACGTCGAAACCACGGAACGTGAATATATACCGAACATGAAACAACCTTAATAAAGTACTAGTGGGGCTTCACCTGAAGGGGTGTCACAGATGGAATGAAGTGTAGAGGGCAATAACTCTGTTTAAACACGGGTAAAAAAGCTATTCAACATGACATTGAAGAAATTTGTTGAGTGTTTTAACAAATTTGACCCTTTGACCTTGAATAAAGGTCAAGGACGTTTCCTTTTGCAAAATTTGTCTAGTATAATGCTGCTATAAAGGCAATGAAAAAGAAAAGGACAAAATTTACCTTCGGACCAGGTGAACTAACAAGAGTAGCGTAGGGCGGAACGATATACGCCAGTCGAATGTCATATAATGTTATATATTAACTTGCATTAAAATAAGATTTGCATCACCTTAAGAGTGGCTAGCTAGCTATATATAGCATGTTATAAATCTCACCTTTCACTACAAAGTCAACTTCCGATTTTCTTTAATTTTCTAAAAGTTTGAGGAAAACAAGTAATCAAAAGATTGGTCTCCAACTCATTATATTAACACAACTTGATATCATGATTATGAAGCCTACCAAGTTTCGAAGAAATCGATAGAAAACTAGATCTCCGGACAAGATTCAAGTACTAGAAATAAACAAAGGGCAACAACTTCTGCAAAAATAGTCGAATCAAATTTTTGTTCAAAGAAACATAACTATATATCATGACTATAACGATTTCCAAGTTTCAAAGAAATCGGTCGAAAAATGTAGGAGGAGATCGCTGGATAAAAATCAAATACTGAAATAAAAAAGGACAATAACTTTTGTAAAAATTGTCCAAACAAAATTCTATTCATGGAAACACAACAACATGTCATGATAATAAAGCCTAACAAGTTTCGAAGAACTCAATCAAAAATTGTAGGAGGAGATCTCCAGACAAAAAATCAAATACTGAAATAAACAAAGGTCAATAACTATTTGCAAAAATATTCAAATCAAAATTCTTTTAAGGGAAACACAACTTTATATCATGATTATAAATTAATGTATACCAAGTTTCAAAGAGATCAGTCAATAAATGTAGGAGGAGACGGTCAATGCCGGTCGGACGATAATACTCCCGTCAAATTTGACCAGCGTATAAAAATGGAATCACACATCAGTGACCAGTTTCTTATGATCATTGCTACATATCTGTATTACCAGGGTGGAAACAGATGCATGGACACATATACATGACATTTTGAAATCTTAGATGTTATGTTACTGTTTATCCATTTGAGAATTAGTATATATATCTGTTGCTAAAAACAAATTTAAGCTGAAGATTGGATAGGATTTCTGTTGTTCATTATCACTGTGTAGGACTGACACCGGATATAGCTAGTACCGAAGCGGGCATGGACGCTAGGCGCAGACAAGCCACAGGATGTTTTCCGATTTTTCTGGTATTTTCTAGTACGTAGAGACAAGTAAAGGAGCACAACAGTTATACAATAAACAATGATGTATGTGATGCAGATGATTTGTAAACTATTTCATGCGATCTGAAGATATTGGTGAGAAATAACTACAAAGCACCGGTACAAAATCATTTAAAAAGAAAGAAGACGAGAAAACTATTAAAGTATGACATATACAATGATGAAACGGACGTTACTGGCATATGTAGATGATACCGGGATAAACATATAATGGTCATATGTTTAAATGTAGTCATTACGATGTAATTGACTTAAATGGTTCTTCGTCTGTGTACGGCGAATAGTTGTTGATACATTTTCAAGTGTACGGCAGCTTGTATGTTAACAGTACGGCAAATAGCTATACAATCATAACAATGTTTAGAGTGAGCATTTGTACTAGCAATGTTTTTTGTTTCATTTTGTCTATGCAATAGCGATGCCGTAGAAAAAAAATCAATGCCTCATTGCATTTTTAGACGGACGGACGGGGATCCTTAACAAAATGTATCACATTTAGGCAAGGTGTTCACTTAAATACTGTATACTATATGAACTATTCGCCGTTCACCAGTTATTTAAAACATTCCTATTCGCCGTACAATGTATTGCTATTCGCCGTACACTTCACCAATATTAGTTATACCAATATCTAAAGAAAGAGGCATAATATACAGGGACTCCATGTATTATCATGACTATATAACTATAAGAAATCATCTTAGCATATAATGTATATAATCTACTGGCAAATATCATGTCAAGACAATATTTTCTGTTGCGAATGAAGATTTAGCGGTACTAGGCAGACTGTTTTTGTAAATAATTTGCAACTACACCAAAACAATTACATGCCTCCTGTTTCAGATATGAATTATGTCTATGCTTGACCGTCGTGCTTCTTTATTTGTCTCTACACTACCAGAATATACAAGAAATATAAAACAAGAGGCCCAAAGGGCCT